GACTCGAGAAGGGTTTGACCGGGGGTGAATTCCTCTTGGTTTGTGTTAAGGAAGGCCATGTTGACACGCCAGACCATGTTTGAGCATATGGCTTCACAAGAATCCTTCCCGATGCCGCTAACCGTGGCACCAACACTGTAGGTGTAGAACATTCCCGCGGGACTATATCGTTTGTGAGGCGAGTGCCACATTAAACTTATGTATTGGATATTTAACCATTGCACCGCCCTTTCATACATATATTTTAACCATATGTAGGAGGGTGTGCTCTTCCTACCGCCCCTCGCATGGTTTTCATAGATTCTTTGATTAGTAGGCCCGCGCGATCTACGTATTTGACCGGACTCAAAAGGGGTTGGACCGAGGTGATTTCCTCTTGGTTTGTGTTAAGGAGGGTCATGTTGACATGCCGGACCTTGTTGGAGCACATGCCCTCACAAGATTCCCTCTCTACGGCACCAGTAGTGTAGGTGCAGAACCTTCCCACGGGATTGTTGTGTTTTGCGAGGCAAGTGCTGCATCGAAATTGTGGGTTGGGTATTTAACAATCGCATCACCCTTTCATACATTTATTTGCGCCATATGTAGGCCTGTGAGCTCTTCCTACCCTCCCTCATGCCGTTTTCAAATATTCCTTGATCCGTATGGCCCGCACGATCTACATCTTTGACCGGATTGAGAGGGGTTTGACCGGGGTGAATTCCTCTTGGTTTGTGTTAAGGCAGGTCATGGTGTCATGCCAGACCATGTGAAGGCATGTCCAGATCCCGTTGTTAACTATTGATCGGCTCGAGGGGGGTTATGGAAAGTTCTCGTTGTCGTTGGAATGGGCTCCAGAGACATCCAAAAAATGCGAGATTTTTGTGTGGAAGAAAAGTGTGAATGGCCGTCATGAGATGATGAACCCTAGTGGGACGATATGGCCCCACAAGGGGTGCCATGGGCTATGGAAGGCCCTAGGCCGAATTTCTAGGGGAAGGAATCCTTCCCTCTTCCACCAAGTGGAAGAGGAGAAGGACCCCCCTCCTTGTGGCGCCCCCTCCTCCGTCTCCCACCTATACATGTAGGGAGGCCTCCCTCTTGAGATACATCAAACCCAAGGGCCTCTCTCCCGCATAGCTACATGCTCCCGGCCTAATTGGCCTAAATGTTTAGGCTCCTAATTAGATGAGTTATAATCTTAGTCTAATTGGTGCAATAGAACTAGACTTCTAATTAGACGAGAAGATCACTAGGCTGTCTCATTCTCTAGTTTTCTCGCACTTCTTCTTCCTGGATGTCAAATCTCCACCGGACTACTACCACAGAACACATGGATACCTCGGAGAGGTCGTCTACTTCGACTCTCGTCTCGAAGAACTCTTCTCGTGGCTAAAAGGTATAACCTAACTGCGGGAATCCATGGGATCGTTAAACTGCGCCGACTCGTCACTCCTTCCGCTACTCCGACCATCGGTGATTTTTGTCATTACCGCCATCTTCATACTGCTCCTGTGTGTGATCGTGTAGCATAATTTAAATTTTTGTTCCGTAGCATGTTCCCCTACAAGAACCTTCTTGTGGACTGTCATGTTTGTGAGAGAAGTGCCACATCGTAGTTGTGCATTGAGTATTTAAACATTGTACAACCCTTTCATACATATATTTGGGCCATATGCAGGTGGGTGTGCTCTTCCTACTCTCTCTCGTGTTGTTTTCGGGGATTCCCCGATCCACGGGCCCGACCTACATCTTTGACTGGACTTGAGAGGGCTTTGACCGAGGTGAATTCCTCTTGGTTTGTGTTAAGGCACGTCGTGGTGACATGCCAGACCTTGTTTGAGGACATGCCTTCACAAGATTCCCTCTCAGCGGCACTAGGTGCGGCTACAACATTGTAGGTGCAGAACCTTCCTGCGAGATTGTCGCGTTTGTGAGACAAGAGCATTTTTGGCTGCTACACCTTTCCGGACTTTCTGAGCATGCCAGACCCTAAACCTTTCTGCGGTATTGTCGTGTTTATGTGGCAAGTGTGTTTTCGGCCAAAAAGCTAGGGGGTACATACTTTTTGACATACCCACCAACAAAAGCATTCATCTAATAACATGAATAAGGGGCGCAACAACCTATCCTTATGCATGTGATCCTAATATAGGTACACTAGGGGATTGGAAGAGTACAAGACCATCAAAATATTAAAGTGGCAGTAAATAGAGAGAGATAGGAAAATTGAGGCCATAAAAAATAAGTCCCATGAAAACTAGTTGGAAGAAAATGAGTGAGAAAGAATGGAAATCATTTTAATACCATTTTGCCATAAAAAATAGGCTGGCAAAAATCTGAGAAAATATAAGCCGGGTGCTTTCACTTGACACACGGCTTATATGCCATGTAAGCCGAGTGCTCCCATTGGGCACACGGCTTATAGGCTGCTCCGTGATGGCCCCGTCAACCATCTCCATTGTAAACACGTGGCAAATATCTTTGCCGAGTGTGCGCTATAAGCTGATAGCCTTTTTGTGTAGGTGCCGTGTACCTCATGTAAGCCGAGGGCTTTTCGGGACCACTCGGCTTACTGGATACTATAAGCCGAGAGCATTTTATTTGCCGGGTGTTATTTCCTCCGCACTCGGCTTAAAGGAAATATAAGCCGAGTCCCCAAAAAATAGCACACGACTTATAGGGTAACACACGGGAAAACTGTTTTTTCCTGTAGTGTCAGCCCGCAAAAAGAGGGGGGCGGGTCTAGTGGTGGTGGTGGTGGTAGTGTGGAAGGGGGAGAGAACAAGGAAGCTAAAACTCAGTCCACTCCGATTTAACCAAGTCTCAGTCAACCTTGCATCATTTTGTCCCATCGTTCACAACATTTCTTCCTACCGGTTACATCATCCGTCTTGCTGATTGTAGCATGTCGTGTCCCATGTCGAGTGTAGCACGTCATCTCACCCGTTGCAACATTCTCCATTGACGGATGTAGCAATTTAGTCAGGACGGTTGTAGTATATGTTGTCGTTGCTTGCAATACCGTCACAACATTTTTCGTTGTCGTTTGCAGCATCCAGCCCTGCCGATCCTAGCACCACAACTACATTGATCGTCACTCGACTGATACACAAAAGCAAAGTCTTATCACTTAATTAATTATCAATAAAATCTATACCTACTAATAAAGCAAGGTGCGTTTCGTCGATTTTTTCATCTGTTCATCACCGATTTTTTTAATCCAAGGTGGTACTAATTTTCTGTATGTCCATCTGCCATAAAAGAAACAGTTTTATGCAAAATCTCATAAGTGGCCGCACGCGCTGAGGCCCAGCCCATTTATTTCCTGTCTATGCAGCTGAGAACCATTATTTACCGCACTGGGCGTAAAATAGACGAGGTTTCACATATGGCACCCAGTATTGGGACGACCGTTTTTATTTTTTCTCTGTTCTGCTTCTTTTTCCTTTTTCTTTTCTTTCCCTTTTCTTTTATCTTTCCTTTTTCTTTTTTCTCTTTCAAGTTTCTTTTTGTTTTTCCTTTTTTCATAAATTCAATTTTTCAGAATTTTAGTTTTTGATTAATTTTCGTAAAATCTCCAGAATTTATTATATTTTTTACCATTTTGATTTTTTTCCAATTTTTAGATTTTTATTCCCATTCCAGAATTTATTGAAAACCATAGAAAACTTTCGCATTTTAATTGTTTTTTATGTTTTCCAAAATTGTTCGATATTTTCAAAATAAATTGCATTTTGAAAATGATACAAATTAAAAAAATATTCATTTTTATTGAAAAGTTCACAAATTCAAAGTAATGCTTGTGTTATAAAACATGTTTTTCAAAATTGTTTCAATGTTTAAAACATATTTAATTTTCAAAAATTGTTCACATATTCAAAAATTGTTCGTTTTCTTATAAAAGATTCATATTTTTAATTGTTTTTGTGAATTTCAATAAATTTTCATGTTTCGAATAATATTCGAGATATCATAATTATTAATTTATTTTTTGATAAGTTCAATAAGATGAGAAGAAAATGTTTTGAATGGTACGCTACAGTATATTATTAAACATTCGCGCTGGCCATTTGTTAGCAGGAGTTGTTTGTTCGAGTGGCTAGCAGCACGTGGTCGAGTTTTTGAGGTCGTGAGTTTGATCCTTCAACTCAGTGGTTGTTTTGGATTTTCGTTCGCGCCTTACAAACACATGTCGTTTTGGTGCCTGCCACTTGCCTGGCCAGACTTAAACTGTTGTGCATCCGACATGCTATTTGATAATAAAAAGGAATATTTTTGTTGAATATAATTAAAAGAAATTGTGGACACATGGCAATAAAAGAGGATATGTTGACTTGGCTCTGACTAAAAATATGTGGGCAAGTGATTGCTGAAATAATTACAGAGAATAAACCCTGGTAAAGTAGGGACTATCTAGTTATGTGTTGATTATACCAATGAAACGGGATTCGCTACAATTTGTACTATATTTGTTACGTCATTATAGGAGAGAATGGTCGAAACAACTATGGCCTGAAGGTCGCTGTGCTGCCACAAAATAAGGAGGCAACCACAACCAGACACGGTGGCGGACACAAAGAAAAAAAGGCACAAGTTGGGTGGTGGCCACCACTCCGACCAACCCCATCACTATTAATATCTCAGGGGCCAAACATGATCTATGAGAACGTCGGACCTCCTCGCTCTGTAGCCCCACCACTATAAAGACCGTTTTGATGAACACATCAATTATGTCTCCGATGCTTCTCGTAAAAAAATATTTCTTCCGTTGTGACGCACGGACATATGTGCTAGTCTCTTGTAACGTGGAAGACAGAGCAGCCCCGCATGACCGCCAGGCCATCCCCCGCCACTAAAATCCAAGCCCTCCACCAGGCGCCAGCACCACCGGCCGTTACACTACAAACCAAGAAAACCATCATTGTTCGCACCAACCCACCCAACACACAGAGCAAAGCAAGAAACCGCACGGCACAACACTGCCAGTTCCCTGCTTGAAGTGGCGTCCACAGATCGGCATGTCGATGGCGGGAGGCCCGTCGGGGACGACGGCGTCGCAGCATGGGGGCGGCGGCGGGGGGTGCTGCAGCTCCAGCGGGACGCTGGAGCTCGTGGCGGCGTTCACGGCGGTGTGCCTCGCACTCTACGGGGTGATACTGTACCTCAACTACCTATACGTACGGTGGAGCGGGCGGGACGGCGTGCATCGGACGGGATCCAGCACGGCAGCCGGGCCGGCGAGGAAGAGGGCCGGCGGAGGGGGGCTCGACAAGGCGGCGCTGGCAGCCATGCCGGTGGTCCGATTCAAGGCGGAGGCGCGTGGCGACGGCAGCGAGGTAAGGGAGGAGTGCGCGGTGTGCCTGAGCGCCATGCAGGACGGCGACGCGGTGCGCGCCTTGCCCGGGTGCAGGCACGCGTTCCATGTCGGGTGCGTCGACGTCTGGCTGTGCGCGCAGGCCACCTGCCCCGTCTGCCGCGCGCGCCCTGCTCTCCCGGTTCCGGCAGCGAAGGACGGCTCCAAGAGGGCGGAGACCGCCGGACGGGAGCCGGACCTGGAGAGCCCGGTATAGCATGCGTGCGTCGCCCCCGAGCTGCCGGTATGGCTTAAGGTAGTTAGCTGCTGCATAGGTGTTGCTTCATCGGCTTGTCTTCTTGGAAGCGTGTGGATGGATGGCTACAGCTACTAGATGGTTATCCACTGAGTACATAAGTTTTGTGTTAGCTTGCTTCAATTGGGGCCGATGATCTGCGTGCATGGCTTCTATGAATTGTAATCCTACGGACTCTTGCATTGCTGATAGGTGAAGTCCCCCAAATCATTTCGTAAGTAAGTTCATATTTTCCCCGCAAAAGAAAAAGTAAGTTCATATTTGATGTACCCGTATGATATTGGTCCCCCTTTTCCTAGTTGCAGGAATAGCGATGTGGAATGGTTGTGACATAGCCGGGGACATCTTTTGGTGCTAATTTACAGGATTGCGAGACAAATGGTCTTTAGTTAAACGCATGGTCTAGGCAATTGGAGCACTGTTAGTTAAATAACCAACCACCTAGTAATTGTATTGCAATTGTGGCCACTCAGGTGTGAAAATTGTGGATGGATGACCTGTATGCACGGCTGAAAGGGACACTACAATTCCTTCAGTGGTGAATACTACATTTTTCAATCCCATGAGCGAGAGTGGCCAGATATGGATGAGACTAAGGCTTATCAGTATCTTATAGTATAGACGAACCCCACCAATAATCATTAACTGTTATTTTGCCGCGTTCACATCTTCCACGTCACTTTAATTATGGAGAACGTTGCGTACTGACGGACCGGCCGAAGCTGCTCGATCGCGAAGGGATCTAGCGCTACGATGTCTCCCGATACACGTTTTCCATTGTTTGTTTTTCCTTTCCTCGGCCCGCCCACGTGCCCTAGGCCCATCACGACTGTTTTTCTTTCTCTCATCATATCTGGTGCGTCGTACTCTGCCCTCCGTTATCTTCTTCCACGCGTGGTCGTCTTGAAGCTCCTTCTCCACAAACCGCTTGTTGAAATGCTCCGACATGGGGGTGGGAAAATGAGCTGCAACCGGAGCCCAGCGAAGATGCATCTGTGGGAGAATCACCACCCGCGAGCTGCGACCATGCCGGCCGCATGCTGGAACCAGCGTCGCGGCATGCTGGAACCAGCACCATTTTTTGCTACATGCATTCATGGTGGAGCTACAATCCGCGACGGCGGAGACGAGTTTTTGCTGCAATCGTCATCAATTTTTGCTACGACCGGCGAGAAATTTTGCTACATCCATTCATGCCAGAGGTGCGACTGGGTTGGGACGGCGACGAAGATGTTTTTTTTTTGGCTACCATCGTCATTTTTTTTTGCTACAACCACGTTGCGCTTGTGCTACAATCAGCATCTCATTTTGCTACAATCAGCTTGCAACCGGCGCGGTCACCACGCTCGCCGGTTGCAGCTTTTCAAGAACATGGATGAAGTTTTTCAGTGTACAAACATTTTCAAACTGAAAAAGCTGCAACCGTTACCAAAAAAGCTCCAATCTTAGATGAAAAAAGCTTCAACCAAAATATGTACAAAGTTTTCAATCGGGCATTGCTTCACGGAAAAAGTTGCAAACGTTCACAGATAAGCTTCATTTGTAGTTGAAAATAGCTTCAACCCACGAGTAGTCCAAGCAACATTCGGCGAGGATGGAAGTCATGGGTTTCATGCTACATGCTACAAGCGGTCCTGGATTTTGCTACGACCAGTGTCGTATCCAGCTACATCTGCAGTCATGGTTTGCTGCATCGAACAACGATGCATTTTTTTGGCCGGAAGCGAAGCTGGATTTTTTGCTGAAACGGGGGTGAGCGAGAGGTTGCAACCGCGAGGTATGTGACCGATGAGCTGCGACTGGACGGGCATGAGCAGCGGCAAGCACGCCGGCGAGCTGCGGCCGTCGCCACAGAAGCTACGAGCGTCGCCGCCGAGACCTGCAACCACTGGTGCAGCTGCTACATGGGTTGAGGCGGCGACGAGGACCGACGGCAAGGGTGGGGACCGGCGATGAGGACGGCCGGCGAGGGCGGGGACCGGCGACAAGGACGGCCGGAGAGGGTGGGGACCGGCGATGCGGACAGCCACTGGAGAGCGCGTGGCTGGTGAGATGCGGAGGGTCCTTTTTCTCGCGAGCCTGAGGGAAGAAGATGACCTGTATGGATAAGGATCTAGCGGCTTGGGAGGGACCGATCGGGCGGCTAGGGTAGGACCGGCCGAAAGGTTCGGCCGATGCGCTGGCGCCTAGCGGTGCCCTTTAATTATTTGTAGCCATCTCAAAGCGTGCGCTGCAGATTTGTCCTCTCCCCCTCACCAATATTTCTCTTCGCTACCGGCCCACCACCAACGAAAATCTCTAACCCTGTAAAATCATTAATTTAGGAAACCGTGCGCCTAGATCAGGAACAGTTTCCACAGATTTTCTCATGTCGAATTCTTTGAAACTAGTGTCGGTCGACTCGGTCTTCCAACAGCTAGCTGCTAGTGCCATACATCGGTCACGTCTTCCTAGCCAGCCGCCGCTTCCAAGATCTAGGGTTCTCTGCCTCCCGCCGGCGCCGGCGCCGGCCCATCCCGTATCCGGTGGCCTTAGGGCCATGAAGACGGAATGGATCTCGGACTTTGCCGGTGGGAGGGCTCTGTTTTTAGTTTTTTTGAGCTTTGTTAGGGTTTGTGTCCTATCCAGGAAGGCGAGACGGCGGCCGCTCCCTGAAGATGGAATAAAGATCTCCTCGCCTAGCCCCCGTTCCGGTGATGCGTCTAGCATCATCGGTGGGCGTGTGGAGGTGTGTCTCTGGCGGATCTGACTTTGGTGGATTTGTTCAGATCTGTTCGTCGTTCGTATTCGTTCGTGTCTCTTCATGTTGGATCATTTTGATCTACACTCTTCGTCTGTGGCGATTGCTATTCTGGTGCGTTGGTTCTATGGGGCCTTAGCACGATGACTTCCCGACTGTCTACTATAACAACGTTTGCCTGGCTTCGGCGAGGGAGGGGCGATGACAGCGGCACGCCTTCGGCTCGCTTCGGTGCTTGTAGTCGTCGCTAGGTGGTCCACGGATCTGGATGTAATTTTTATTATTTCTAGTGTTTGTTGTACCATGGTTGAAGATGAATAGATGGAAAGTTTTTCTCGCAAAAAGAAAGAATTCTTCGAAACTAGATTCATTGTCAATAGATTTCAAAGAACATATTTTTCATGATAACCCCCGCTCCCCCAACAAAAAAAACGAAAGCCAAACAAACAAAAATGAAAACAAAAAAATGGAAGCACGGTTGTCTTTTCATTTTTTGTAAGCTCGGCTATGCTTTTTTTTGGGAAAACACATATGTGCTTCTTCTTTTTCGAAGAAAGTGTTTCTCGCAAAAAAACACCGCTTCCCTAAAAAGAAAAAGAATTCCTCAAAACCTAAAAAAACTCAAGAAAGAGCTGAAAAGCAAAAAAGCTAAAATACGTGCAAAAATACCGAAATCACGCCGATTGGGCGCACCCCTCGCGCTCCCAAGCACCCGCTTAGAAAATCGATGACCGGGCGCCCTAAATTCGCCCCCAAACGCCCGAGCGGGTTGCTCAGTCACGGTTCGAATGAAAAAATAGCACCCAGCCCGGCTCCCCACACGCAACCCAAGCACCCGGGCAACCCAGCAACCCTCATATCCAGCCCATATATGTGGGGCGAAGGGAGGCCGGGATGCGACCAAACACCATTGCCATATCGGGCCGGCCCGCTATGGCCCACTCCGCCCCCACCACTGCCCCCACCAAGACCCAATAAACCCCGGTCAAACCACACTCCTCCCAGCCCCGACGCCGCTGTACGCGCTCCCTGCCATCCCCGGCCAGGCGACAGGGCAAGCTGCGGCATCGCCAACAGCCGCCCCTCCTAGGAGTCATTGGGTGCTAATGCTTGCAATGCCCATCCCGCGGTCGTGATGTGTTAGAAATATGCCCTAGAGGCAATAACAAAGATGTATTATCATATTTCCCTTCCATGATAAACGTTTATTATCCATGCTGGAATTGTATTATTGACCGAAAACTTAAATACATGTGTGGATACATAAACAACACCGTGTCCCTAGTGAGCCTCTACTTAACTAGCTCGTTGATTAAAGGTGGTTAAGGTTTCCTAACCATAGACATGAGTTGTCATTTGATAACGGGATCACATAATTTGGGGAATGATCTGATTGACAGACCCAACTGTAAGCTTAGCATCATTTAGTATCACTTAGTTTATTTGCTACAACTTTCTTCATGTCAAGTATGTGTTCCCTAGACCATGAGATCATGCTACTGCCAAATACCGGAACAATGCTTTATGGGTTATCTAACGTCACTTTGTAACTGAGTGACCATAAAGGTGCTCTAAGGTATTTCAGAAAGTGTTTGTTGGGTTGCATGGATCGAGACTAGAATTTGTCGCTCCATGTGAAGGAGAGATATCTCTGGTCCCTCTCAGTAATAAAACATCACAAGAAGCTTTCAAGCATGTGACTAATGAGTTTAATCACAATATCTTGTATTACGGGATGATTAAAGAGACTTGCGGGTAACAAGATTGAACTAGGTGTGGATATACCGATGATTAAATCTCGGGCAAGTAACATATCATCGTACAAAAGGAATTGTACACGGGATTAATTGAATCCTCGGCATCGTAGTTCAACCAATAAAGATCTTCACTGAATATGTGGGAATCAATATGGGCATCCAGGTCCCTCTATTAATTATTGATCGAAGAGGAGTCTCGTTCATGTCTGCAAGTTCTCGAACCCGTAGGCTCACACGCTTAAAGTTCTGTAGCATTAGGGTGCTAAGATATTAATATGGTGAAGTCTGAAAGTAGTTTGGAGTCCCGGATGGGATCTGGGACATCACGAGGAGCTTTAGAATGGTCCGAAGGTAAAGATTTATACATGGAAAGTTGTTGTCGGGGTTCCGAAAGAAGTTTGGTTTTTCGAGTATTGTACTGCGAAACTTCTTGAAGGTTCCAGAGGGGTCTGGAAGTATATCAG